TTTCAACTTACACTCAGATTGGTGAAATAGAAGACCAGGAGAAATAGGGGACATGAATTATTGGAGAGATCAGGGAAAGAAACAAACACGATTTATAACAAAAGAGGGATGGGAAGAAACTTCTGAAGAATTAAGAATTCCCTTCTTAGGAGAAGAAGGGAAAGTAGGTGAAAGCATAAAAGACAAATTTTAAGAGAAGCTTGGGAAAATAATAAAGGGTTAAAGGAGCTAGGATACAAATATTTATCTGAAAATACCACCAGAGAGCCTGCACTTCCTTCACAACACATTTTTACTCAAAGCTTGTTGATTAATAGAAACACATGTAATGGATTTTTTGTTCAGGCAGAATGCTAAGCTTTTGAAAATTTCACATTTAAGAAATATAAACATTTACTTACAACACATTTGCTGAAATTAAAAAGGAAAGAGTTAGAATTAAAATTTATTTGTGCATTGTTTAATAGGCTGTGAGATAAGGATAACTAATGAGAGTAGCTAAAACACTGTAGGCCTTCCACATCTAATATGTAATATTTCAGTGCACCAGGAGAAACTCGCTGTTTATGGGACTTAATTAACATGGCAAGTACTCTTGACTTGTAAGATTGAGTTGTTTGGTAGATCCTGGCATATTTGTTTTGCTTGAGGTAGGGTAGAAAGGTACATTTCTGAAGGGGTTCATGTTATTTGGAAGGCAAACAGTTTCAAAGAAAATAAGTCATCTAGCCTGATGATGTTTTAATGGAATCCTCACTATTAGAAAAGCACTATACCGACCCCTATTCAAACAAACAAGTAAAACACATAATCCCAGCCCATCTGGGCCAGCAGAACATCTACCAATAAAATAATCTGCAATCTCCCTGAAGGCAGAATATAATGTTTAAGTCATTCATCACTATAATTAACACAATGTTTGGCATTCAGCATGCACTCAGAAATGTTTGTGGAATAAATGTTGACTGAACTGAAGCCCAGATCTATGAAGAAACAATCCAGTAAGTGTAATTATAATAAGTGTAATTATTTTCAAATATTTAGAAACATTTTGAGGTGTATACAATTTAAAAACAATGTTCTATCTTAGAATCAAAAACTTTTATATAATTTTATACTTAGTCCACACATTCCTGAGTCAAGTGGCTCATTTATTTTTTTCATTCATTTATTTGACATTTATTTCATGAGCATTTACCATGCTCATGAGGAGAGGAACCTGCTTCCTCCTCTCTCTCTGCCTGTCTCTCTACCTACTTGTGATCTCTATCTGTCAAATGAATAAATTAAAAAAAAAATCTTTAAAAAAAAATAAATAAATAAAAGAAAATGTCTCATGGGGCCTCAAAAGGCAGTGCAAACAAGTGCACTATAATAGTGTACTGCAGTGTAGACTCGTGATTAAGAGTGTAATTATTGGGGCTGGACTGCTTTCCAGAGCTGGGTCAGCTGCTTACCAATCAGGTAACTATGTGAAAATAACGCAAATCTCAATTTCTTCCCTGTAAAATGGGAGCAACAAGTCATAGTCCCTATTTCATAGGATTCTGGCGATGATCCCACAAGTTCATCTCTTTCAAGTGCTTGGGCAGTTCCTGGTACATGGCCAGTGCTTAGTATATGTTAGCCAGTATTATTAATCCTATAGGGTGTGCAGGGACACAAACACTGAGTGCTGGGAGAACAGAGACAAGCTGGTGGAAGGACTGCATGCCGGTGGAGGACAGGAAGGTGCAGAATTATGGAGAGGCACACTTCTAAAAGGAAAAGTAGCTGCTTGTTTGAAGCTGTGTGAGGGAAGACACCCAAGTCTTCCTTCCCTGGAAATCAAGGAAGCTTGAGAAGGAACTGCCAAGTTCAGCTGTTAGATATTACCAGGAGTACTGGGAAGAAATGTCTGACAGGAGTAAAAATCTTTTAAAGAAGGCAAAACTGCAGCTTAGAAGTAGCTAGAATAGTCCTTTGCTTTAGGTCCATCATATTGTAGATCTATATTTTCATGGCAGTGGAGTGAAAAAAACTCAAAGATATATATATATGAAAAAGAGAGCTTTGTTAAAAACTCTCTGGACTACAGATGTCCATCAACAGATGAATGGATTAAGATATGAGGTTTTATGTATATGACATATATGTAATGGAATATTAGTCATCAAAAGGAATGAAATCTTGCCATTTGCAATGATGTGGATGGAATTAGAAGGTATTATGCTGAGCGAAGTTAGTCAGAGAAAGACAAATACCATATGATTTCACTCATATGTGGAATTTAAGAAACAATACAGATGAACATAGGGGAAGAGAAGGAAAAATAAAATAATATAAAAACAAGAGGGAGGTAAACCATAAGAGTCTCTTAACTACAGGGAACAGGGTTGCTGGAGAGGAGCTGGAGGAGTAACTGGGTGATGAGCATAAAGGAGGGCACTTGAGGTAATGAGCACTGGGTGTCATATGCAAATGATGAATTTAGTAAGACTAAATTCTATACCTAAAATTAATAATACACTTAAAAAATGAAAAAAAAACTAATAATATACTATATGTTGACTAAATTGAATTTAGATTAAAAATTTTTTAAAAATTTAAAAATTAAAAAGTATACTCTCTGGGCTATTCCTTAAAGTACTTATGTTCTTGATAGAGGTTTTCACTTGAAGCTCAAGCCTGTAGACATAATATTACCATAATATTATACTTTAAAAAATATCCTGCATTGTTTTAGGGAGGATTTAAGGCCATTTCCATGGATACATAAAATATAAGAAGACCACATAAGCTAAAGGTGGGACAAAGTAAAACAACAGTGGAAACAGAGAACAGAATCATGAATCAAATTAAAAATGGATGTGAAAAAGATGAAAGCTTTATACATTTACTCCAGGTGGACCACAGGGTTGGTTCTTTAACCAGTGAACCCATGTTGTCACGTGCATATCCAATTACAACATAGAGAAAATTTGTAGCCTGGTAGAAAATCTAATTTATAGCTTGCAAAGAAACTTGACTGTATGGCTAAGAAAAAAAAAAATCAATTCAGAGGATATTTGGTAAAAGGTGAAAGATTTATACAATCTAAAGAGAAACCAGAGTATGGCATGGAATATTTGGAATAGAAGATGGAAAGAAAATTAGGGCTTTGAAGTATGATTTTCCCTTTTTTTTAAAAGATTTTAAAAATCTTTTTTTTTAAAAGAGAGATCACAAGTAGACAGAGAGGCAGGCAGAGAGAGAGGAGGAAGCAGGCTCCCCGCCGAGCAGAGAGCCTGATGTAGGGCTCGATCCCAGGACTTTGGGATCACAACCCGAGCCGCAGGCAGAGGCTTTAACCCACTGAGCCACCCAGGTGCCCCTGAAGTATGATTTTCTTAAAGAAGGTAGAGAAAGTACACTATGCAATTAAATAGTTTTTCTTCTTTTAAACTTTTGCATCTGGCTGAGAGGCACAGGTGTACTCTAGTGCACAAAGTACACCACACAATTAAATAAAGGTTTTCTTCTTTTAAATTTTTGCAGCTGGCTGAGAGGCACAGGTGTGGGTCAGAGAATGAAGGCTAAAGGTGACAAAAACATTTATTTCCCCTAGGCTTATAAGAAGAAAAGCTCTTATGTGAGTTAACACTGCTTTATGAATTCTTCCTGTGAAGATTGCACTTACTTTTCATCAACGTGAGAAAAAACAGTGGAAAAGAAAAAATAGTAAACGGTAGCAGTAAATATGGAAATAGATTTCAACTAAAGTAATATGCTAACGTACGATACTTTTTTTAAATAATCCGAATTAAAATATCAGGTTAGAAATGCCTTGGGGAAAACGTGGATATTGATCTGATGGCTAAAACCTGTAAAGGTCACATACTTCTAAATATTAATTTTACTCTGAAATGTCCGTTTTCTATTTACGTACTTCAAAAATCTTCCTCTCTCCTTCCGTTTATCTTCAAATAAAAGATGAACAGCTACACCTCAGAAACCGCCAAATATAGTGAAGAAAGACTTGGAGAAAATTTTCACCTGGCTTTTTTCCAGGTGCTGCTAGAAAGCAAAGTTTAACTTGCCTTAACTACAGAATGGACGAGGTCAGAGATTGTTTTATCAACGGTATTAGATGCAATGGCAAAGAAAATTTCTATTATCTACTCGAGACCCATGGAAGTAATTGGGTTTCACTGGAAATTGATGAATATAAATATTTCCATGGATATGGAGCGTTATGCAGACATGTAGAGATATGACTCTATAAATGTGTAGTGTCCCCCATGATCCAGCTGATACGCATTTCTCTCGTGGTTCTTCTACTGAAGAGCAAGAGAAAGGAGAGGACATTCCTCCCGCAAATCCAGCCTGTTTACGTAACTCGTCTTGCAATCAGCATTAAGGCTAGCACGGCCCAGAGCAGGCCGGAGTGATGAAGCTGATTGGTTGCTCACAGGAGCGTCAGGGTATGGGCTGTGCGCTCGCGCCTCACTCCCAGGGACGCAGGAAACCCGGGCGCATTCGAGCAGCGGCTCCTCCCGGCTATAAGAAGCCGAGTCCGTTGTTCGTGTCTGACCGGTTTTTCCTTTACAATTTCAATTCTTCCAAAATTGACATCTTGGTGGATGGTCCGAAGGAAAGCCCGAGGTAGGGGCGAGCGAAGCTGAGGGCCAGATGGGGACAAGTTCGCAGGAAGGGTCGGGCTCCCCAATTTCCTGAGTTGGGTTCCCGTGGGAGAAGGGCTTCGGAGAGGAGGGAGGGGAAGATTCCTCTTAGCAAGTCCCCTGGGACGCTCCTGGAGCACCCCAGCCGGGCGCGGTCGGGAGAGCGGGTTTCCCAGCCAGCGGTAGGTGCGCGGGACAACATCACCGCCCCGAGAGGAGCCTGGACCGAGAGCCCCGGAGGCGTCAGCCAAAGTCCAGGATGCGCCGAAGCCCTCCAGCTGCTGGCGTAGACTATTGTCACCTCCGCCTCCTGCGGGTTCCCCATCTGACCCATGGCCTGTGGTTTCTCCTCAGGTCACAATGGATCCTGAAGGTGGCCGTAATGGAAGAGCAGAGAAGAACTTCTTGAAAATGGGCAAAAAAAGGTAGCCAGTTGTTTCACTTTCATACTGTGCGTGGCTTGAGAAATTTGGGAGATGGATTTCTAGTCTCCAGCTCTGAAATAAAAGAAGATGGTATTTTTAATCTTAAACGTAAATGGTTTTTCTGCAGAAGTTCACTGGCTGAGTGGAGGACAGCGTTTACGCATTCCCACGGCCTTGGGGAGTTTCTTTCTCAGCCTTCCTGCCCTTGACACGCCACTGCTCTCACATCCTTTTCTGTGGTTCATGAACTTTCTGCTTTATGAGCGCTGTTGCTCGCCCACGTCCCCGGACATGTGCTGCTTGTGCTCTGCTCCGTGGTCCAGTCTATTGCTTCCGGTAAAACATAAACTTTCTGGTCACAGAAACATTGCATGTTTGTGGCATGGCAGATGGGACAGAAAGCCAAAACCACATGTAGGTGTTAAACGTGGGTTTTGTTGATGTTGTTGTTATTTTAAAGGAAATGCATATCTGACACTTGTAGAATAAATTCTGAAAAGAGAAGACTGCAGGACCAAGGAAGCTACTAGCCTCGTGTGTAATCATTGGTAATGGAACCACATAGGGAAATGTTAAGTAAATTTTGATCACAGTGTCCATACAGGAAATTTTAAACTTTGCTCCATAGGTTCATTCTTAGTTGTAAATTGTAATAATTAAAAAAACTAAAAGAAGTTAGTATATTATTATTAGGAACCAAGCTTTTCAATGTAAAAGAAAAATATAAGTAGGGACAGCAAAGAAGGTTTTAACAACAATATTAAATTTGAACTGTACTTCAGTATGAAGTCACGAGTTTTTTAAAATAGTTCACTTTCTATCCACTGAAGGGGACAGTAGCAGTGAGTACACTTATTGCCAGATCTTGGTTTCTGAATACCATTCCTCACTAAATGGAAGCTGTACTCCCTGGAGAAATGGCTAATTACAACCATGTATGTTGGGATTGGGGGGGGGCACATACAAAAATGAACCTGGACTATCTTGTTGTTCAAAAAGAACACAAGAGCTGGTTTCACTGTACTTGATTGTGAAATACTGTATACAGTATAGTCCATGAATCTTTAATAAAATTCTGAAATGAAGAGGAAAACAAAAAAGGTGGGAAAAGGTAGTGAGAATAAAGGAATATTTTTTGCAGAAAAATGCCAGCTAACTTATTGGAACTTGCATTGTTATCACTGACTCAGGCAAGTGTTGTTATGGATCTCAAACCATTTGGAGAAAAGTTGTATCTAAGAATTATCCCAACTGTTTGCTAGGCAAAAAGAAAGTGAGGATTTTCAGTGGAGAGATTTTTGCAGTTAGCGATCTTAACCTAGTGATCAGATCTAGTATCACTCATAGTGGAGTCCTGTGTTAGTGACAGGACACCACCTAGGAAGTATGTTTGCAAAAACATTTTGGTCTGAACCCTGTCAAGCTTCTAGACTGATGCTGTCCAATAGAAATATAATGTGAGCCCCATTTGTAATTGTTAATTTGCTAGTAGTAACATTAAAAAACTAAAAAAGAAACAAGTGAAATTAATTTTGAAAGTATGTTCTAAAGAAGCTGGAATATCTAAAATATTTCTATATGTAATCAGAATTATTAATAATACAGTTTACATTCTCTTTTTCATACCAAGTTCTCAAATCAGCTGTGCATTTTATACTTACACACATCCCAATTTGGACTCAGTTTGACACTGACCTATCCAGATGCGGGTCAATCTACAAGACATCTTATTACTATAAAAAGTCAATGTGGTTGGAGGCAGCAGAAGGACTTCTAGATTTAAAAAAAGAGACTGGGGCGCCTGGGTGGCTCAGTGGGTTAAAGCCTCTGCCTTCGGCTCGGGTCATGATCCCAGGGTCTTGGGATGGAGCCCCACATCAGGCTCTCTGCTCAGTGGGGAGCCTGCTTCCCCCTTTCTGTGCCTGCCTCTCTGCCTACTTGTGATCTCTGTCAAATAAATAAAATCTTTTAAAAAAAGATAGAAAAGAGATAAAGAGACAAAACCATCCAATATCATATGTGAACCTCGATTATATCTAAGTTCAAAATCAGAAAAGGAAAAACCTATAGAAAACATTCTTAGGAAATTTGACAGTAGATTGGATATTAGTTGATATAAAAATTGCTATTTTCTGAAATGTGAAAATGGTAGGAAAATGTGAAGTGCCACGATGTTTGCAAGTTACTTTCAAATGGCTCAGCAAAATATTAATGATGATAATGTGTACTTACTTACACAGATAAAGAACATATGGTCAAAATGTGAACAATTGTTGAGTCTAGGTGAATTTTGTGTGGGTAGTCATTATCAGTGTTTTTTTTTTTTTCTTCAATTTTTCTATTTGAAAGTTTTCCTAATGAAAATATTCATATACACAAAAAGAAAAAACCTCTGCATAGTGGAAGGAAGATACTGCTTTTTTTGTTTTTAGGTTGTTTGTTTTGTTTGATACCTTAAAGAACTATGTCCTTAATATACAACCACTTAGGGGGTGCGCCTGGGTGGCTCAGTCCTTAAGTATCTGCCTTTGGCTCAGGTCATGATTCCAGGGTCCTGGGATTGGGCTTCACACTGGGCTTCCCTGCTCAGCAGGGAGCCAGCTTCTCCCTCTCCCTCTGCCCCTACTTGTGTTACCTCTCTTGCTGTGTCTTTCTCTGTCAAACAAATATTTTTTAAAAAATACTCAACCACTTAGGGATATTGGAGTAAGAAGTACTGAGGTTATGTGGAAGGAGATGGTAAAGACATGTGTTGGAGCCTGCTCATACCTTCATTTTATTATTGCTTCTTACCATGCCTATAGACTTCTTTTTTTTTTTTTTTTTTTTTTTAAATATTTTATTTATTTATTTGACAGACAGAGATCACAAGTAGGCAGAGAGGCAGGCAGAGAGAGAGAGGAGGAAGCAGGCTCCCTGCGGAGCAGAGAGCCCGATGCGGGGCTCGATCCCAGAACCCTGGGATCATGACCTGAGCTGAAGGCAGAGGCTTTAACCCACTGAGCCACCCAGGCGCCCCTAGACTTCTTTTAAACACAAAATTGTGGGTTTTTTTTTTTTGAAGATTTTATTTATTTATTTGACAGACAGAGATGACAAGCAGGCAGAGAGGCAGGTAGAAAGAGAGGGGAGAAGCAGGCTCCCTGCTGAGCAGAGAGCCTGATGCAGGGCTCGATCCCAGGACCCTGGGATCATGACCTGAGCCGAAGGCAGAGGCTTTAACCCACTGAGCCACCCAGGCGCCCCAAAATTGTGGGTTTTTTAGGTGAGAAATTCTTACTAAGCTGTGTTCATCATCACTGATTTTAATTATTCTCGGTATAACCATATATTTTTCCCTAGTCTTATTGAGATATAATTGACATACAGCACTATGTAAATTTAAGGTATACAGCTTTATGGTGTGACTTATGTATATTGTGAAATGATTATCACACTATGTTTAGTTAACATCTAGCATCTCATACACATACAATAAAAAGAAAAAGCGAAAAAGACTTTTTTCTGCTTGTGATTAGAACTCTTAGGATCTACTCATAACAACTTTCCTATGTATCATATGGCACTGTTGACTATACTCATCCTGATGTACTTTACATCACTGGGACAGCCTTATCTTTGTAACTTTGGATCAAATTCTTCTCGTCTCCACGCCCTGTCAGCCTCTGATAACCACAAATCTTATCTCTTGTTCTGTGAGTTTTTTTTTTTTAAACTATATGTTCTAATTTGGAATTAAAAAGAAGCATGTGGATTTGCTAATATGTATATTGGTTGGGTGATAGTATCATTTGGAATCTATGTATTTCTAAAGGTCTGATAAGAGACTTGCTTTTTATAAGTCCTGTGTTTCAAGCTGATGAGGATAAATTAATGATCTAGTAGGGATGAGATATCAATGTGGAAATGTATTTCTATATGATGCAGTATCCTAGAAGTCTGAGGTTGCCCTGAATAGTAGCTTAGTGTTTAGGGGACAGGCTTTTCCATTTAAACTTGGCTTTTTTCCAGCTGTGTGACCTTGGGCAAGTTCCTGAACTCTCTTCACCTGCAGTTTTCTCAGCTCTGACAGAAGGACAAAAATGTGCCTGCCTCACAGAGATTGAGATAAGATTAAATGAGAATGTGTATGGGAAGTGTTTACTTAGCCAGTATTTGAAATATTATAAAATTTCCAGAGTAGGAGCAGTTTTAGAGAATGAAAAAATAAATAAAAGGCTTGGAGCTAAAATTCAATTATGTGTGACTGCTTTTTTCCTCTCATCCTGGTTCCAGAGATACTGAAACCATGCTTTATTGGGAATAGGGTGGGACCAATTCTGAAGAGTTATGTTTGTGTATTTTGTGTGTTTTCATGTCCGTCTAACATCACTTTAAAGCCAAATATGGAGTAAGCTGTGGATTTTTTTTTCCTTTAGAAGTCTCTTCAATTCTTTGACCTCGCTTAGCGTAAAGAACAAAGAAAGACGAATTTACTTTTGAACTTGAAAATCTGTATAAAAATCATGTAATTCTTCTCTGGAGTAGTCTTTAGTTTGCACATATGAAAATAAAGAGGCAGAGGCTGCCTTCGGTCAGTTGGCTTTCATGTTCTAGGTGGCTGTTACACAGAGTGGAAAACAGCTTATAGCTAGAGTCATTTGAATCTGGGCTCAAAGTAATAATCAGCCTTCTTATTCCTGAGGACAGCTTTCTGACAGTTTACAGACCATCTTTTTTGATCATAGCTTTTCTAGATTGAATTTATTGCCTTAATGGTACATTTAGGGCTCCAGATTTCCTTTCAGAATTAGATTGATAGAGAATGATTTAATTACCTTTCTTCTTAGGTTAGTTTATGCCCAGCTTCTGATTGCCACCACTCTCCATTTGTAGAAAGACTGAGGATAATATGTAGGTAGTATGTAGATAGAATATCTACTGCTAGCATTGCTTAGATGATGATTAAGAGAATTAACTCCGGAGAATATGAGTGATTTTCTAATTACAGGTCTTCCTTAACTTAGGTATTTCCACCAGCCCCATTTTGTTAGTTAAAAATATCGTAAGTTGAAAATGCCTTTCATACACCTAACCTATTGAACATCATAGTTTAGCCTAGCCTACCCTACATGTGCTCAGAACACTTACATTAGCCTATAGTTGGGCAAAATCATCTAACGAAAAGCCCGTTTTGTAACAAAGTGTTGAATATCTCATGTAATTTACTGAATACTGTACTGAAAAACAGCATGGTTGTATGGGTACAGAATGATTTTAAGTGTATGGGTTGTTTACGATTTTGATCTCATGGCTGACGGGGAGCTGTCAGTCACTGCTTCTGCCCAGCATCGAGAGAGTGCTGTACTGCATATTGCTAGCCCAGGAAAAACATCCAGCTTCCTTACCGGAAGTAGATGCATAACCCTTTCTCAGCATCCAAAAGTCAGACCATTGTACATTGGAGACTGTAGAATGAAAACAGTAAGTTCTCTTATGTTCTTATTATTTTTAAAGGTTTTATTCGTTTGAGAGAAAGAGCACAAGCAGGAGGGTGAGGGAGAGGGAGAGGCACACTCCCCGTTGAGCAGGCAGCCCAACACAGGGCTTGATTCCAGGACCCCAGGATTATAACCTGAGCCAAAATCAAATGTTTAACCATCCAAGCCTCCCAAGCATCCTAGTATTATTTTTAATAATTGCAAAAGTTGTATGTCTGTGGATTCATCATAGAAAATTAGGAAATACCAAAGGTGCAAAGAAGAAAATATTTTGATAGAAATCTCAATACCCAGTGATAATCACATATACAGATTTCTAAAATACATGTAAATATTTTTAAACTTCATAAATGGGATCATACTATTAACATATGTTTTTATGGAATAATATAGATGTGTTTCTTTGTCTTATTTGTTATTAAATATAGGATCTATGTTCATTTGGTCATTTAAAAATCTATGTAATTTTAAGTTTTGTGTAATCCTATTACTATTTTTCAGTAAAAAAGAGAAGAAAGAAAAGAAACCAACTGTCAGTACGTTTGCAATGGTGAGTCTGAATTTACTTAGTGATCAGATTGCTTGGGAAATTTGACTTCTTCCCTAGAAAAGAGATATTTCATCTGGTATAATAATTGTCTTGGAGCATATCTTAATGAAGAGGTGAAATGAATAGGTTTAAGTTAGCTTGTTTTCAGTGGAATGCCAATCATGGCGTATTATGATTGAGCCTCAACAGCCTCTCTTCTTGGCCTACATTTCAGTATTCTGCTAATTTTTTTATGTGGCTTGTGGTCTGTTATCTATGCAAGCACTTTTCCTGTGATTGGTCTCAGCCACTAGGTAGAGTGTGGTTCTAACAGGATACAAGTTTCCTTGTCATCAGTGGCTCTCAAATTCTGGCAGGTTTGAGGTCAAAGTCTCAGGCACCCAAGAAATAGAAGTTAGCAATGCATTATTTATGACTATGAACCTAGTACCTATCATCATTTCTCTGTGCTGAATAACTAATAATCTCTAATCTGAAAACCTTTATAAAATTCTTCATCTCATTTTCTGGTTGCATGGTCATTGCTTAGAAATTTTTCTTGTGTCAGATTTGGAATAAGACAGGGATTTAAAGCTGTGGTTGGATGATGGTCTCTCTCTACCTGGGTCCTTCTTTTATTCTTTCCCAAGAACCTGTAACACTACTGAACAAACGAAGTCTGGCAGTGAGTGCATACTTTATAATTCAGTCATAACACATCAGATGTTTTTTAAAAGTTGTTGGTGGGGGAGGGGTAGGCTGTCTTATAAAGCAGATATTAGCAAATTTACTATAAAATCTTACATGGTCATCTTCTTGCCATAAAGTTGCTCTGGCTATAGTTTCACCTTTTGTCCTATCTCTCCTTTCTTTGGAATATTTTGGGAATGAAACTATATGTTTGGGTCATTCTCAAAAAGACACCGATGGGGGGTGGGGGCGTGCCCAAGTGGTTCAGTAGGTTAAGTGTATGATTCTTTATTTCAGCTCAGGTTCATGATCTCAGGGCCTTGGGATTGAACCCCATGTTGGGGTCCATGCTCAGCTTGGAGTCTGCTTGGGATTCTCTTTCTCCCTCTCCCTCTGCTCCTCCCCTGCTCATGCTTGCCCTCTCTTTTTCTCTAAAATAAATAAATCTTAAAAAAAAAAAAAAAAGACTACTCAGGTGACCAAGGGGCAGTTTTTGTTTCATACTTCATTCTTATTTATTAAAAGAATCTTTTATGTTAATATATATATATATATATATATATATATATATATATATATATATATATATTTGGTCTATTCCCAAGATTTAATTTCAGTTTTGTCATTTTGAGACCAAAATGTTTGTCTTTTGTGGTTTAGTTTTTATTATTTGTAGCTTAAATTAAAAAAAAAAAAAGTCTCATTTTTGGGGCACCTGGGTGGCTCAGTAGGTTAAAGCCTCTGCCTTCGGCTCAGGGCATGATCCCAGGGCCCTGGGATCGAGCCCTGCATCGGGGTCTCTGCTTGGCTGGGAGCCTGCTTCCCTTCCTTTCTCTCTGCCTGTCTCTCTGCCTACTTGTGATCTCTGTCTTTCAAATAAATAAAATCTTTTAAAAAAAAGTCTCATTTTAGAAAATCTAACAGATCTAGGGACACCTGAGTGGCACAGTCATTAAGCCTCTGCCTTCAGCTCAGGTCATGATCCCAGGGTCTGGGATCCAGCCCCGCATTGGGCTCCCTGCTCAATGAGGAGCCTGCTTCTCCCTCTCCCACTCCCCCTGCTTGTGTTCCCTCTCTCACTGTCTCTCTCTGTGTCAAATAAAAAAAAAAATCTTTTAAAAAAAGAAAATCTAATCTAATATAGAGAGGTAATACTATCAATACAATTTAAGCCACCGAAGAGTAAAAATCTGGAGTTTAAGTGTGAGGGAATAACAGCACATACAATACTATATGCCATGTGTTGTCCTAAGTACATAAAACTCATTTAACTATTACAACTCCCTTTGAGATACATACTACTATTATTCTAATCTTACAGGTGAAGAAACTGAGTCCAGACATACTAGCTTGCCCACTCGGTACACAACAGGGCCAGGATTCAGACCTGTGAATTTCATGTTCTCAATCACATTGCTCAGGATAGCATACAAGGAATATACTGCAAGCCTTTTGAGGAAGAGTTGTGTTATTTATGTGGCTTTTCCTCATGTCTTTTTCCTGAGGAGCTGACACAGAAAACTGAACTGAACTTGTATGTAAAACTTAAAGACACGAGGACACATTCAGAACTTTTCACAGTATAGTGCTGATGTTATCAGCTAAGACAAAAACTCATGTGTCAGGGCCCCCCCGAGACCCCAGGTTTGATGATTTCACTCAGAAGAGAGACACTCAGGACTCAGCATATTGTCCTACTTGTAATACTCATGGCTAAGATTTATTACAGCAAAAGGATACAAAGCAAAATCAAAAGGGGAAAAGAAAAGAGCGAGGCAGAAGTCCAGGAGAAACAAGGCATAAGCTCCCCTGAGTCTTTGCCCAGTGGAGTCACACTTAAATTGGGACAACTGTGAAATGCTATCAGACTAGCTCATTAGAAACTCAGCACTCAAAATTTGTACTAGGGGCTGATCATGTAGGCTTGGCATATACCAGAATTCCAGACTCATAGAAGAAAGGCAGGTATTCAGCATAGAACACCTATGCCAAATAATTTGGCCACTTTTATCAGTTAACCCCAACCCCAAATCCAAGTTCTAGATGCCCTCCAAGGGCCAGCCTTGAATACAGGTCTTTCGAAACTGCAAGTCTTTAGCTTACAGTATTAACTTCTACTCTGAGACTTTTTGGCAGTCTTGAGAAAGTGATCAAAAAGAGGTAGGTGATATTCAAGTTTTTCTACAAGCATTTTTTAAAAATACTGGGCCTTGTTTCAACAGAACAAGAAACATAAAAGTAGAATAAAATCAAGGCAAGTAAGGAAACGGAACAGATGGAAATCAGGACAGGAAAAATACCAGTGGGGCTGTGGTTCCTACACATAGCACTCCTGAAAGATTACACGCTCTTGCCAGAAAGGTGCGGCGGTTTCGACTCTGAACGTTCTACTTCATGTATCTTATTGAAAAACTAATTTTTTTAAATAGTTAAGATCTATTACCTATCTAGTGCTTCCTCTGTGCCACGGACTTGTTAAGCACAGTGACCCGATAACCTACGAGGTTGCATTGACCTTACACTAGATGATGAAACAGACTCAGACAAGTTAAGCAATCCACTCACAGTCACAGATTTACGTAGCTAGTAAGAGGGCAGGTCCAGAATTTGCCACAATCTGCTTAATCCAGAGCTAGAGGGGTTTTTTAAAAAGATTTTATTTGTTTATTTGAGACAGAGAGCACACATGCATGGACAAGCAGTGGGAGGGGCAGAGGGAGAGGGAGAAGCTGAATCCCGACTGAGCAGGGAGCCCGACGCAGGATCTGAGGACCCTGAGATCATGACCTGAGCTGAAGGCAGTTGCTTAACCCACGGAGCCACCCAAGTACCCCTCCAGAGCTAGAGCCTTTAACAACTTGAATCATTTATGATAGTTTATGATTCATGATAGTTTTGATTCATGATAGTTCATGATAGTTTTGATTCATGATAGTTATGATTCATAAATCATATGATTTATGATTAAGCTTTTATCTGCCTGGAATCAAAGAGTCTTTTTCTTTATGTCATTATCTTCTGGCCACCTGGTCATTCATCATTGGAGACTTTAGCACCAGGCTCAGGGTCTCCCTTTCCGCTCTCAGAGCTCCTACTATCTTGCATAAGTTTTATGGTGTTCTGGATAATGGCTCCTTGACCTTCACAGGTACAATCATCTGTTTCCCCCCTTCACACCAGCCATCTGCTTGTACACTTATATCCTTTATTGTGTTTTGAAACTGTTGTGCCCCTGGAGTGACCTATTGGAAGAGCAGCTTAAATCGGTTGGCCATCTCCTTTCTTTTCAACCTGCTCACTATTCTCTCTGGATATTTGGCCCATTGCCCCACCATTTTTCCAGCAGCCGCTTCTCTTGCTCAAACCAAAAACATCCTTTTACATGTTATCCAAACAGCATCATGGTCTGCTTTCTTGCTTTCTTTCACCTGATTGTTGTCATACACCTCACAACAGGTATATTCCCAGCCAGAATCCTACCCCTCCTCTTCTCACTGGCTAAGTCAAACCTCTACACTTTTCAAATTTCCCCCTTCTCTTCTTCCCTCTTTGGTGGATGAGCTCTTCTTCTATTTCACAAACAGAATATACAAGCCTGTCTCTCCCTGGGTCAGATCCTTCCTCCTTCCTCCTAAGGTAACAGAGTAAGAATCTGGTTCTTTTTTTTTTTTTTTTTAAGATTTTATTTAGTTATTTGACAGAGATCACAAGTAGGCAGAGAGGCAGGCAGAGAGAGAGAGGAAGGGAAGCAGGCTCTCTGCTGAGCAGAGAGCCCGATGTGGGGCTCGATCCCAGGACCCTGAGACCATGACCCGAGCTGAAGGCAGAGGCTTAACCCACTGAGCCACCCAGGCGCCCCAAGAATCTGGTTCTTAAAACTAATCACTCATGAGGGGCATCTGCGTGACTCTGTCAGTTAAGCACCCGACTCTTGATTTCAGCTCAGCTCATGATCTCAGGGGCATGAGATCAAGTCCCATGTCAAGCTCTGTGCTGAGTGTGGAGCCTGCTGAAGATTCTTTCCCTCTCACTCTGCCCCTCCCCACCCCCCACACTCTCTCACACTCTCTTAAAAAAAAAGTAACTCACCCATTTGTACCTTGAGTCCCACATCCTCTGCCTTCTCAAGGACTTTACATTACTATTATTATTATCCTTTCTCTTCTGTATCTACAGTCTCTCCCTCCCTTCTGGGTCTTTCCTGTTGGCATTTACATGGGAGGTGTCTTCAGTTTCCCCAACAGCATCCTTCAAGCCACTCCTCTCTTGCTTGCTTTGCACACAGACCTGCCTTTACTTGTGTTAGTTTTACTTTGCATTCATTTCTTTCT